GTGTGTGTGTGTAAGATGGTAAAACAAACCTAACTCACACAAATGATGAGCACAGCGCAGGTGGAAGCAGTCACAGCTGTGGACGTGATGATACAGAGTTTTCTCGATTAGATCCTGAGGCTCATAGCCCGTCAGCTCTGCAACCCTGGAACACACACAGACACACACACACGCAGTTACATCTCATCATTTGCAGAGACTTACTCTAAATACAACAACTTTTGTTTCCTTTTTTTACCCCAAACTTCAAACTTTACTATGAAACGTAAGAATGTTCACAGTCCCCACAGCATTACTAACACAAGTACTGCTGACACACACACACACACACACACACTATCAAGTATAAATCAGGCTTCCGTACGGTGGCCCTACGAGGTCAGATGCACTGCAACCAAAGGAAACAGCAGCAAATAGAAAAAACAGACATACAGGAAGTAAAAAAAGTGACAATGGAAGTTGAATAAAGGACAAGTGAACAACTGCAGATGGCACTGAGACGCTGCAAGAAGAGGAACGTTTGTGTTGTGATGAAGAAACAAATCACGTGACTCCTGTAAATAAATGTTTACTATCCGTCACTTCTGCACACACTGGCTCCAGTAACTCGTTTCTCTTGTGTTTTATGTGCTTTTGCAGCATTTTTATTATACGCTGGTGTTTTCTTTGATCGTACTTCCTGCATTTCTACAGGCCCTCACACAAAACGTGTGTCAAGCAAATACCAAAAACCAATGCTGTGATTGAGTATTTCCCCTTCCTGGTTTCTGTTTCGCATATCTGACATCCTACAGTTTAACATGAAGATTTCATTTGTTAGAGGAAAACGGTTATCCAACCCTACCTGGTCCTGTGTGGAAAAAGTAATTGCCCTCCTCGTTAAATCATTCATTAACTGTGATCAACCCCATTTATTGGAAAGTTTAGATCATTTTGCGGAGCTGGATTACTCCCACACATGTGTGACAACACAGAAAGCTGAGGTCTAAGGAAACAAAGCCAGTGACATCTTTGAGTCTGAAAGGCGCCACAAAGCCAGCTTTGTGACTCCAATGAAAGACGCTGAGAGTCGTATCCACATGTGGAGAAAACTGGGAACAACTGTGAGACTTCCCAGAAGTGTCTGGCCAACCAAACATCCGTGACTCCAGGAGGTCACAACGAACCCAGAGCAACATCTAAAGAAGAGCAGGCCTCACTTCCCTCAGTTATTGGCATCCGTGGGAGAGCTGTACGGCAAACTCTGTGCTGACCAACAACACAAACACTCCACAAAGACATTCTGATGGTCCCCAAGACTTTGGGGAAAACAATACAAAAGGTCTGAGTCCCCATACATGTGGTACAACACAGCATGTCAGGAAAAGAACATCATACCCACAGTTACACATGGTGCTCTTTGTCCTAATTGATGGAACCATAAATTGTGCTCTATGTAAGAACATCCTGCTGTCAGTCAAGCTCAGGCACACAACGATCACTCACGGCCACGTCACTCAAAAGAAACCAAACGTACGCTCTGGCCTCGCTTTAACATCTCAGGCGGGTCATTCGTGCTTGAAAACAATTCTGTAAAAGCTAAGAGATCAGGAAAGGGCCAATCTACGCACACGCCTCTGTCCTGTGAGCAGCAGCTGCAGACGGTGAGCGGACATACCGTGAGTCGAGGAAGATGAGCTTCATGTCCAGACTGGCTCTGAACATGAACATGTTGCTGTGCAGTTTGATCTCAGTGATGGCGCTGGGCGGCAGCGAATGGCCGACAGCCACCAGCCCGATGTTCTGATAGCAGCCGTCAAACGGAGACATGTCGAGGCTGTACTGTCGAATCTTCAGGTAGCCGCTGCAGTGGATCACCTGGGCCAAGCGGACACAGCAGGTAACAACATCAGTCACGCAGGAGGGTACGTTTGATGAGCTGAGGCCCAGACCTGACGTCAGGTTGTGCTCTTTCACTTTGAACCCGTGGTTCAGTCTGTTAGACTTTCCTGTGAGACGAGAACACTGGACAGAGGTCAACATGACGTGGATGCTGTTGCTGCCACAGCAGCACGCTGCAGTCAGTACGACTTGCTGGCCAGCAGACGTGTTACGCTGCAACTCTCGACCCATATTTATACATAAAAAAGGAAATCCTGACAACCCCGGTGCACATGGAGACGGCTGCACACAGTTTGAGCTGTAGCTCTGAGTAAGTCAGCCGCTTCAGCGCGGCGGTTACTGCAGGGTTGGACCGTCCTGGTGGTTTATCTTCCAGAGCTATACGTACATATATGCATGTCATTGTCCTTCACTGAACACTTGTGTGCTCCTAAAAACTGCACGTCTGTTTGACCTCGAGTGTGAGTGCACATCATTTCCTCTCATCTCTGAAAGTTTGATTTTGTGTGGCTGACGAGGGCAGCGTGTGTTCAGACCACTCTGTTACCTTGTAGCCTCCACAGGTAAGACCAGCATTTCTTTTAGCAAGGACGCACTTCATTCTGAGAAAGAAGGAGCGCTCCATCTCATATTCTGCAGAGACATAAAAACTCACATGAGCTGTGCTGCATAGTGATGCCGTACACAGAGGCACACGTGTAGATGGCTGATTACCTTGGACAAAGTGGGAGTGGTAAGGCTGGTGCGCTGTGAGGACAGCTATCATTTCATCGTGGTCTGCTGGGTGGATGTACTCGTAGATGCTGTTTCCTGTCAACTCTACCTGTTGAAATGAACATTCAGCTCACAGCTATGACATATCAGGCCCGGAGGAAGCGACCACATCGGGTGTGTCAGACCAACCTGTGACAGGCCCAAGTGCACTGACGCTGTTTCTGATATGTACATGATTTTCCCATCAGGAGCAACCACAAAAATGAAGCCATCTAACGTCTGGAAGAAACGGTACAGGGTAGAAAAGGCGTTATTGCACAGGTACAAAGCTGCTTCTCTTTTTAGTTGCATCTGTGTTATCATCTGTTTCTGTGTATCTGCACATTTTAGGGCCAATTACGACGGTGGAGTCAGACTGTTTCCCTTCTTTGATGGAACTTGGCTGTGGCTGCATTCAGCTCCGTGCCTTTGCTGTCTGTGCTGTGCAGATTTGACTTGTTAGAGACAAAGATGGCTTCATGCATGAGGAGAACATGGCCTCCTTGCACTCTGGAAAAAGAAATTGTGCCTATGTTTTTGCTCCGTTCTGTGTTAGCAGGCTCGTTAGCTCGTTTGGTTTGCCTGAACCTAACGTGACATGTTCCCGGGATTAAAGTGGAGACTAGCGTGGCTGGAAACCTACACGTGGTTATTAAAACCTCAGCATCATGAAGTCCCTCCAGCTCAAACTCATGCAGCGTAATGAGAATCGATGTGCCTGTTGACTCTGTGTTCAAATGTTTTTAAAACTATTGATTCTGCTGTGTGGTCATGATGGAAGCTGCCTTTGGAAAACCCTTCCCTGTTTCCTTATGTTACTGTTAGATTTTCCAGTATTTTCTGCATTAGATGCTGCTCAGCTGTTCACCTAAAAACGTATGGAACAAAGAGGAAACACTGCACGCGTGTCAGGAATAACTACTATTGTTGCTGTGCTGGTTCTCATGTGTAGGCCCAGCACTGTTCATGTGTTTCCTCCGTTGTCATTATGACTGATCGAGGCTAGCTAACCTCTGCTTCGTTCAGCCTGCAGCCGGCACACAGCCCGGCTCCATTGTGCTGCGGCTGATGCGAGAGGCTGCAGGCTCTGTGCGTGACCACGAATGTGTTCAGCTCATTTCACACTGAAAGCACAAGAATGAAGGCAGCAGGAGGCATGTGGCAGCAGCTACCAAACCTCCAACAAAGCTGCACTGCCAGGCTGAACAATGATGATAATAAAGTGCACATGCATTAAGCACCAGTACTGATAGCAGTGAGTACCTGTAAGAGATGGGAGCCTAGTTCCTGGCTGAGCCCATCCAGAGAGCTGCTGCGGCTAACGTGCCCCCAGGACTCCCCCAGGCCTGCGGATCAACCAAAACAGGTAAGTGTAAAAAACCGCGTAGTTTGTTCTTTGTTCCAGATAAATAACACAACTCATCACAGTCTTAGTACGAGTGGTTTGGGAACACTGACAACAACCAAATCTGCGCCCTATAAACGGCTTTTCCATGATCGTCCTGTAGCTCCGATCAACAGCGAGCAGGGTCTGACAATACAAGATATATCCGGACAAACAGGAGTCTTTACTTCCATAAGTGAACTGCTAATTCTGCGGAAAGCGAAGGCATCTCTGGAATTAAACGGGACTCCAAATGTTCCTTAAATCTGCCCAGTTTAAACTCAGTGTGAAGTCTGGAGTTTGTGGCCTGCAGCGCTAAAAATACAGCGAAGCCAAAAATAAGTGAAGAATCGAGAAAATACTTCACGAGCCCCTCAAACGCGGACAGAAGCGCGCAGACAGAAGCGCGCAGGGCCGGCGAGCCTCGCAGGCCCCGACGCGCCCAGCTGCGGCAGCGGGGCGCGTTTACACGCAAAGCCCGCTCTGCAGAGCAAACAGACGGCGTGCAGCGGCCCGAGCCGCTTCACGTTTGCGTGACTACACACAATCAAATAAACCCAGTGCACAGACCGAAATATCAACTTCCACGGAAACTCAATAAAAACACTGAGATGATTTACGGCGTTCAGCAAAAACAATCACGCGGAGGGACGCCGCTGCAGGCCCGGATGGTCGTCACGTCACGGCCAAAGAAACAGAAATATGAATTCTGATTGTTCGGAAGAAACGGACACAAGAAACTGACCCGGGGTTATTGTAAAATATCTCCACGGACAGCTTCCTGATATCGTGGGGACGCCACTGTAACCCCACCATCACCGAGGCGCAGACTCCACAACAGGCCTGTCAGCGTGGGGTGCGCTCTGCGGATCAACCCACGAACCGTGACCCAGAGATCAGGATATTTTGTATTATTATAATTGTCCCTCTCACGCGCTAGCTTTTTACATTTCACCTTAAAAAAACAAACAAACAGATTTATCGGCAACAATACAAATATTTACCGTCTATATATAAATACACGAACAGCTGCTTGTTTTATACACGATCTATAT